AGGCCTTCTTGAAAGTCAAGATTTCCACCTCCCCCTGCCTTTCACCTAAACTTATGTGTTGTTGTTCTCTCATCCCCATCTACTGTGAGGCATCCCCTGTTCCCAGCCAACCATTTTATCTAATTATCACTATTCCCTCATTCCCTGGCCTACCTCATCAGCATGCCCAGTATTGTAATCCACAATTTCCCCCAATGATGCCACATTGGTAGTGACTTGTGAAAATAGTGAAAATACAGTTACTTCCCTCCTGCTGTATCTCGTGTAGTCCCATGCTATATAAGATCCTACATTTATAATTGGATTTCTCCCTTCACAGTCATTATACCTTCTGCGTCCCAACATAATTGCTCCGTTCTCCGCACTTGAGTTTCCCATTTTCCCCAACACAGTATGCCTTTTGATAAATCCCTTGATGTCTACCACCCAAATCCCCAGAACAGACCATAGCCCAACCCTAAAACTGACCTGGGAGGACAGCTTCAACTGAGGATAGTCCAGAGCCCTGACTGGTCTATTTATATCTCTCCGATGACATTACCTGTAATCCCTGGACTGGTCAGGGCCTGCAGGATTACCCAATCTCCAAAATGGAAAAACACAGATACCTGTACTTTGGTTGTATTGAGGCTGTAATTGCTAACACCATAGAGCATGTGCAATATGCTGTAAGGAGATGCTTGCACATGTGTTTGTGAATGAATTGAACCGAAAGGTCTGTTTCTGTGCTGTGCATCTCTATGACTATGACATGAAATGTCTACGCTGTAAAACTCCTTTATAATCTTGTATGTTACAATTAGATCACTTTCTTCTAAACTCCAGAGAATACAGAACTATCTACAATGTACAATACCTGCATACATTTTGTACAGTTTTCTGTACAGATCTAAAACTAAACTTGTATATTTCATTTGTAACCAGTTAAATTCTGAGACTGCTAGCTTTGAGCTTTTTGAATGTATTTCAGACTTCCTACTTTGAGCATTTTCCAAGATGCAGTGTTGCTACCACTTTACATGGATACAATTGAAATCCAAGTGTGCATCAATACTGGTGGCAGTACAGCCCAGGGATCAGAACGCTATCTCATGTGTGAACATACAGAAGCAAGCTCTGAGACCACTACCTGAAGCTTGTCTCAGGATGTGTTTACCAGTTTGAGTTGCTTTACTTGTTTAACGTAAATCAGGAGTTACATTGTAACCTGGCTTCATATTGATAGTGAGGATCTCACTCTGGGTTCATGGCATTTTGCTACTATAGCAAAACAACTTGACAGTGATTATAGTGTTGTAGGGTAAATGCTCACTTGTGCTACTTTGAATTGGTGCTGAGCTTCAATGTAGGTCAGTTCAATGTACAGTCACATGCTAAATACTAATTCTTATAATGTTGGTTGCCAGCCTAACAACATTTGATGGGTACATTCATTGCCGCCAATCCCTCTTCTAGGTACTGGCACAGGAGTGAAATCAGGAAAACACTTTATCACACAAAGTGTTGGACAAACCTGGCACTCATACCCCAAATAGCTATGGATACCAAGTCAATTAAAATGTTCAGGATTAAGTTTGATTGATATTTATTAATTAAAGTTAGTCAGGGATGTGGAACAAAGGCAGGTAAATGAAGTTGAGGTACAAACTAGGCACGATCTGATTGTATTACAGAACAGATTTCTGGGGTGGAAAAGTCTACTTCTGTGTTCTTACAACAGCAGAGAAATTAATATGTTTACAAATAAACAAGTTGGCACTGTAAAAAGAATGGAGAAAAAACAATCAACGCAAATTGTACCCTGGTATTCTGTGACATATTTTCAGGGCTATTGAAATAAATTGCTTGATGAGCGTAAGTTCAAGGAAAAATGCAGCACTGCATGGCACCTGACCTCAATGTGACCAGAAACAATGTAATTCAGATTCAACTGATGCTAACAGTGCATCATGCTGTGCAGCTAATAGCCTAATAATGGCAGCTTCAGTATAATTGCAGTTCTAAGATTATAGTCATAAAAATGGCACCAATATACAACGCTTCCATTAAATTATCTGCAGCTGTCATCAAATTATTACAGTTCTTTCGTTGTATATGATGCTATCAGCTATCTTACATTGTAAATGAGGAAATCTATTAGTGATATCCATCTTTATTCCATAGCTGTAGTAACCATAAATGCAACAAATGACAGAAGCAAGTGTTTCATCTTTTACGGCAGTGTATAAGCATTATTTGAGGCTCCTTGTTCACCGCGAATAATGTTTGAATGTTAATCAGCGCTTATTGCTTTGTCTGCTGTGCTTGCACATTTTGGACAGAGTGGCTCATAATTTTTGTGGTAGAACCGTGAAAAAAGAACTAGAAATTTCAATGGACACTTAGCCTTAATGCAATCTTTTTACCAAGGCAGATTTTAAACACAACCTTCATTTTCCACTCTTTTACTCAACTCTGTCCAAGAACAAGACAAGATTCAAACCATCAGGATAATCAATCTTCAAACTAGAAATAGAATGTGTCAGTAATACTCAATCATTTCAGCAGCATCTATGAGAGAGAAACATTATCAGTGTTTCTGGTCGATGACTACTCATCTGAATTTATAGTTAACAAGAAGTTGTTAATGGCGTGAAATATTCAGTCATTTTAATGGGAAAACATGAGCAATCTCCTTTTCATTGCTTGTGTTGTTAAGGGAAAGGCAAGGGATTATTTTCTGCTGAAAAACAGAAGAGAAATGGGTTTACAGAAAGAAACAAAACAGAACTTGCATCTAAAAAAAGGAGGTTTGAAGAAACTAAATTATAAAAAAGCAACATGGTTTCAGCTGCCAATTGGACAGAATTGTTTTGTGACTGTCCCAATTACGTTAGGATTTTGGAAGAAAGAGGTACACCTGCAGAAAGTTTTACAGCCTGGGAGAGACAAAAATGAGAAAGAATTGAAGAGATCAGTGGCTCAGTCCTAATAGATGGGAATAAAACTGAATATATAAGGCAGATGAGTCTTTCACTGAGGAAAATTTCTGAATCTGGAACAAGACAACAAATTAGTAACAACCTAGAAATTGTCAACACCATTGCTCATCAGGGATAACAGCCAAGCAACATGAGAACAATTAAGCAATTAACTAGAGTTGGACGGTTGTCAGATTTTCCTCCAGCAATACTCAGCAAGGTGACCTGAATTATTTTTCATTGTATTAAACTTAAGGAAACTTTAAAGTAACAATGAAGGCTCAAACAGTAGCCGACTCAGTATTTCAACCAAAAATCTCATGAGAAAAGTGTTCAACTCAGTACTTGTGGTATAGCTCAGTTGGCTAGACAGCTATTTTGCAATACTGAACAGCACTAGACAACATAGCTTAATTTCTACACTCGTTGAGGTTAGCACAAAAGACACTCTATCTCAACCTCTCTCCTTGCTTGAGGCATGGTGACCATCAGGTTGAACCACCACCAGTTGTCTCTCTCTAATGGGAGAGTAGGACCATGGCGAATTTATCTTACCTTTTACTTTTTGCATACCATCATATCACAGTATATTTGATGTTCTGCATCTTCAAGGAGTGGTCTGTCAAACATAAAACTGCCCAGTATTTACTTTCAGACATCGTCTGCATCCTTATGCTTTTCAAACGTGTGACAAGATCATTCTTAAACAGCTCACCCGTCTTACCTTAAAGTAATAATCCTATTACTAATTTGGTTCATGGGAAAATATTCTGCTGCTTGCTGCAAACTCCTAGGAGAGCATTAAAAATGGTTGCCAATCAAACATGAAATTCATTTGAATGAAACAATTTTTTTTTGCAAATGGATATCTAAGAACAAATTCTCAGAAACTAATTGGTTTTCAAATACATCTAATCAGCTGCGGACCATCTCAGGGATTTTCTTGGCTTTCCCTATGTTTATTGGGAATAAAAAGCAATGGAAAGATATGATATGATATTGAAATACTGTCTTGTCACGAGGACTAGAATATCTGACAAACTAATTTTCACCTCAGTTTGTGTGTTTCATGATTTGCTGGAAAAGAAGATTTACCTCAACTGAGATTCCATTTATACCCAGTGGGAGATTACAAATGATACATGTTAACATTATCTTTCCACCAGTGAAACAAGAGAAAAGTCCATATTTTGTCTTTGTTCTATGAGAGAAGCATCAAGGGCTTAGAGAAACAGTTAGATTGGTGGGCAATATAAAGGATGCCAGCAATAATCAATTACAGCAGCTAGACACTTATTGATGACCTGAGAGAATTGAACTACTGTGCAGTCAAACTGGAAGACTTTTGAAATTAACAACTGAGCAATATATTTGGGCAACTTTGAAAAGAATAATAGATAATTAATCCAAAGAATGTGCCATAATTTTCAAATGGTCAGTTATTAGTAACTGAAAAGAAGTTTATTTCATTCACAAACTAACTATAAACATGCATTTCAAGTGCACCTTGTTCAAAAACAGTCAACTATGAAAGATTAACCTATTTGTATATTTGAGGAATATACTTTGACATCCAGTCTCTACAAAAATACGTTTGCTTAAACTATACCATTTACAAATCCCATCTGTTCTCAGAATGTCATTATGCTAAATTGGTTTGTCCACAATACTTTAAAAATGCCCAGCAATAAATTATGTGCCATAAAACATGCAGATAAGCTCCCACGTAGTTTTCAGATCACATCTTAATTATCCTGCACTGTTGGGGAAAAAAACCATGTTAGCAATATTGTATTCAGTTGCAGAACATTTTACAATATTTTCATGGTTTTAATTCACATATTGATTCTACCCTTTACACAGAATGCATACTGTCTATATTTATTTATTCAATAAGTTAACAGAAGTTTTACTTATTTAATTATTACACTCAAATTAACTATTGTTGAGTGTGTTTGTTTCTATATGGATATGAATTTGCTTCATGTATTTGCTTATTTACTATGTGAATACCAGTAAATTAATATTTTCTTCCTTCAGGAGTGAACAGGTTCTTTGACAACATTGGGGAGATGGTTGGCCACAGACCTTGCCTCTGGTGGAAACTCTGCTGGTCATTTTTCACTCCAATTATTGTGGGGGTAAGGCAAAGCTTGCTATCTTGATGTCAAATTATTCATTTTAAATAAATACAAACTGCTCATGTGTTCCATTACAAACATCACAAAAATTACTTCACAGGTCAGTCATAAGGTCTGCAGCCATAAATTGCAAATGTTTTCAGGACTGACCCAGTCACTGGAATGGTTTGAGAGCAGTGTATACAATGGATTGGGTTGGATTCTGCTGGGGCAAGAACGAAGGAGGACAGGGTGAAATTACAGGCACTAAGTGACTTACAGGTTTCCTGACACTTTTCCTGGCATTGTCCAGTTTCACAAGGACTCAGGAGGCAAGCCCGAGATTGTAGCTGATTCATTATTTAGGCCAATTAACATTACTAAAGAACTCATCACGCACTTATTAAGGGGGATATTGTGATTTTCATGAAAGCGCACAGGCTGCATGCACTAAACTGGGACAGGCTAGCTGAAAGGAGCAGAATCACAGAGGGGAAACAGTCATGGTCACCTGAGGAAATTTGTTGAGTCCAGTGTTTGAATCCATGTTTATATTCCAATGCATGTTCACATGGATTTAAAGATTCCATGGCAAAAAGAGCAGGTGAACTGACCCTCAGTCCAAATCACAAGAAGCAGCCTATCTGGTCATTATCACAGTGCTTGTGGGAGATTGCTGGGAGCAAATTCACTGCTGCATTTCCTAAATTAGAATAGTGAAAACATTTCTAAGGTCATTCACTGGGTGTCAGTGCTTTGATAAACCTGAAGGGTGCTATGTAAATGATAGTTTTTTTATAATGAAGGAGGGGGTCTTGCCCATTGGGTAACATGCTACTGATTCAAAGCAGGTAACAGGGAAAGTTGGCAGATCGTGCTTGACAATGCAGAGCATCAGCATCCTTTTGGAACAAGGGATATAATTTGTGGTTCAAGCCTGCCAAGCACAATTGCAGGGATACCTGACTGCAAGGAGCACTGCAGCTGGCAGTGAGAACAACTAGTGCCTGTTTTGTGGTGCGACAATAAGCTGAGGGCCTTTATTTCAAAGAAGGACAAAGAAGTTTTCTGCCCAGTATTTATACCTAGATCAATATCGTGCAAATAGTTTATCTCGTTGAGACACTGACCACCCTTGATTGGCTAAGATTGATTGGGTATGTTGCCCACATGACCGACAGGAGAGTTCCGAAGCCAGTGCTCTACTCCCAGCTTTAAAACGGTGGGTCAGCCCCAGGTGGATAGAGGACATGCTTCAGTGATACTCTCAAGGCCTCACTGATGGGGTGTGGCATTCCCAGAGACACCCAGGAATCTCTGGCCCAAGACTGTCCAAAGTGGAGGGAGAGCATCCGGGAAGCACTGCAAGCCTTGCCGTGGGGTAAAAGTGGAAGCCAAGCGAAACAGCGTCGCATGCTGCCACACTCATGCCCCATCCATCCCTTCCCACGACACCTTCTGTCCCATGTGTAACAGAGCCTGCAGAAGCTGCATTGGTCTGTACAGCCACCTACAAATTCACCCTGAGAGTGGAAGAGTCATCCTCGTCTGTAAGGGACCACTGATGACATTTATTTGTGGGAGTTTGCTGGGTACAAATTGACTTCTACATTTCCTACATTATAACAGGGACGACACTTCACAAATAATTAATTTGTCGTGAAGCACTTCAGGACAAGTTGTAGTCATGAAAGAACCTGTTTAAATGCAATTCTTTCTATACTTTTACTTTAAGATTTTGTTGAACTGTGCCCATTTAATAGCATTAAGTATAAATCAAATAAATGCATTGTGTGTGAAGTGTTTTGTAATGTTTTTGCATGATAAAATAGGATGCTGTATGAATACTAGAATTATTTGTTTCCCAGGGTGTATTTCTCTTCAGCGCAATTGAAATGACACCACTTACGATGGGAAGTTATGTTTTTCCCAAGTGGGGCCAAGGTGTGGGCTGGTTTATGGCTTTATCATCCATGATATTAATTCCTGGCTATATGGGTTACTTGTTCCTCACTTCAAAGGGCTCTTTAAAACAGGTAAGTGAAAACACCTAATGGGCCACATTCGACACATTTTGTTGTGAGCTTAACTTCTAAAAAATAACCAGGATTCAATCAGTTAAAGAAGCATCCAGATTGAAAAGTAGAAAATCAAAATACTGTAAATACCAAAATTCTGAAATAAACAAGAAACACTTAAAATACAAAGCATTGCAGGAGATAGAAAGACACAATAACACCTGATCAGAACAAGAAAATTGCTGGAGAATTACTCATTAGATTATAAATCCTACGCAAGTATCTATGAATTTTATCTTTCCAGCTGTTAATTGTTTTATTTTTAAAACTTAAACATAAAGCTGGCTTCCTTGTTCCTGTTGTATGAACCTCGATCCAAATACATCTGTTAAACATCAAATCCTGTAAAACCTCCAAATAACCTATATTTGGCATCTCCTCTTTGGTGACAGAAGAAAATGTTAAAGTTTTTTTAATGTAGTTGCACATCTTTAATGATAAGTATGTGTCCTACTTGGTATGGAAATTTTCAGGGCAATCAGTCATTCACTTTCACAACCTTAGAGACTTGGCCTTTTAAATCTCCATTCATTTACATAACTTGTTTATGTAAGTACAAGGGTGAATGTGAACAGGGTATGAATTCTGCAGTATTTCTTGCATATTCACTTGCATATCAGTTGATCCTTCAGTCTGAGCTAAAGTGAAAAAGGAGGTGACCCAGGACAAGAAAAGTTGAGCTTGAAGAGTCTGTTATAATCTCAGCAGTACAACATTTCCCTGATTCGATCGCTCATTGAAGGCGATCATTAAGGCCACTTTAGAACATCAAGTTTTATTGAACTGAATTAAGCATTTCATTTATCACTTGAATGAAGTGTAAATGGCAACTAGAAAATATGTTCTTTATTTTATTTTCAATTAAACAGATGGAAAGATTCATCACATTCAAGATATTCCATTCAAATTTTTTTATTTAATTATAAGATTGATGCTATTTGCTCAAAACGAACAGTAGCTTTGCATTTTTGTTAGTATAACTCCAAGGTTTTCCAAAAGAACTGTTATTCTTGACATGAGATTAATGCATAATATTTGAATAATAACCATTATTGTCCACATTCCAAGCCTTTAAAAGTTTTTTTACTTTTATTATTTTGGCTCATAGCGTCTTCGACTTATGACTCAACCAACTGAGGACACAAAATGCCGGGAGAATGGACCAGAACAGCCTGAGCATGGCAACACTCCAAGCGATGAAGCCTATATGTAGATTATTTATTAAATATAAGATACTAACACTGCCCAGAAAATGAATCTTTCACCGGTTGATCGAGACCAAGGACTGTAGTTACATTATTGTGCACCTACCTCCTATCACAAATATGATCAATAGTTATACAGGCTCTAAACCTTTGTTGATGGACATCAGTAAAATGCTTAACAAAAAATGTTTCAGATCAGGTTTTGATAACAATGTAATTTTGGCAGAGAACCATCAATAGAGGCAGACTGTTAGCATTTTTTTAAACTATAGTTTTCTTTTCAAAGAGCTGGTACAGACATGATGGGCCAAATAGCTTCCCTCTGGGACCTAAAACTCTTTGATTTTATGACCATGTAGACGTGATTATTTTATACACGTCAACATATTCAGTCTGTCAAGTTTATAGCATGAAGGCCATTAATCAGAATTATGGTTTTGCAATAAAATCATAGAATTTTCTTATCTACTCTTGAATGGTCCTGTCATATTTTCCGGAATAGTACTTAATTTTCTTCCTGTAACATTTACATTCTTGATAGTGGATGCTGTAAACTGTAGGAATTCCCTGTCCACTTGACATCCACTTTTTTCAGCTCTTTCCCCATGTTTTCTTCTTCACCTCCTGGTCCACCCAAGTAACACTGTCAGATGCCAATGTGAGGATTCACTTTTTTTCCAGTCACAGCAAGCAAAATATTAATACTAGAATAAATAGAAAGAAATTCTTCTCTATATTGTTAATAGCATTTTATAATTTAAATTAGTGTCCAAGATAGTCCCAACCTTTAATAATGTTCATTTATGTCTCTTGCTGAGGGCAAGTAGAAAGAACATTAATTTATTGCAGTAACAATTGACAGCACAGATCATACAGACTGGCATAAGAAGCACAGGTTTAGAGGCTAGGCCAGTGGAAATGGGGAATGCAAAAGCAAATGTAAGTAGTCTGACAGAAGGACAAGATGTTGCTGCACATGTAGAGGGAATGATAGAGGGAGAAAGTGCAGTATGCAGTTTAGAGGGTGCCCCATGCTATCACTGTCCTGGCTTCTCTAGATTTTTGTTCATTAGATGTTGGAAAATTTTAGTTTTGTGTCATTTATTCATTTTCCCGAACTTCTTTGCTCAACTATCTCTAACCAAATTACTACTTGGTGCTAAAGCCAAGTCATTAGTATTGTAACTCAGCTTTGACTAATGAATTATTCAAGTACACCAAATCCTCATTTTCTTTGCTTTCAAATACCCTATGGTGAAAAGCAGCCGTTATATCTCTATTAGGCAAGCATTTGAATATACTTAAATATTAGTATAAAACTTTTATTAATCTGAGCATTATCTTTCATTTCAGCCTGTATTGAGTAGGTAGTCAAAGCAAATATTTTGAAATTGCTACATTTGAAGATCCAGATCCGGGCATTAACAGTGTACTTTATAATGCAGGGAGTGGTAAATGACTATTGATTTCATAATATCATGTAGCAGTAGATCAAGGCAGTGTTTCAAAAATTTTCTACTTTGAGACAGACATCAGCTTGTGTCTATGGCAGCTACGCAAATGTGACAGGGAAACAGAACCATGGAAGAAAATTTAGTATATTGTACAATGTATTCTAAGTAAAAGCATAGAAAGTACATGTGCATTGATTAAACATCAGTTGCTTTTAAAGGAACTATTACAACTATATCTGTCAAAATGTTATTGTATAGCAAGTGTGTAAAAATTAAGTGTAAATGTCTGCATCTTATTTAATGTAGTTTTGTCAAAGAAATAACAATTCTTCCATCATAGACCTTAACACTGCAATAACTCTTAACACAAACAAATAATTACTCTTTAAACGTCAGCTATGTATTTAATTTGTATAAAATATATTCAATATAAAATGAGTCTAGTAAAAAGAGTATTGTTTTGTAGATTTATAAATGTTAAATTGATCAAATGTACAGTTTTCGACGTATATATTAAATGGTGTAGTTAAGTTCTAAATGGTGTTATGATACCAGGGCATGATTGTCATACATATGTTGTCAATTTTTTGGAAAGCAAATAAAAACTTTATCTTACACTGTAATTACATGGAGGTATATCTATGTTAAAAATCTGATTAGTTTCCTTACATAAGGCTGAACCTGAAGCAAAATATTTTTTGCAGCCAAAACCAGAGTTGATGTCTTCACATCATATCTGTGCTGTAGTTGGCGCTTTCATTAATGTGTCACTACTGGAAAAATGTCAGAATCCTCTCATCTGAAGAATTTTATCCAACTCAAAGTGAGAAGCTTAAGTTAAATTTTCAATAAATTATCACCAGATGCACAATTTTTGCAAATAGAGTCATAGAGTCATACAGCAGAGAAACAGACCATTCAGTCCAACTCGTCCACGCCTTCCAGACATCCCAATCTGACCTAGTACCATTTGCCAGCATTTGGCCTATATCCCTCTAAACTCTTCCTATTTACATACCCATCCAGATGCCTTTTAAATGTTGTAATTGTATCCACCTTCACCGTTTCCTCTGGCAGCTTGTTCCATACATACACCAACCTCTGCGTGAAAAGGTTTCCCCTCAGGTCCTTTTTAAATCTTTCCCCTCTCATTTTAAATCTATGCCCTCTAGTTTTGCTCTCCCCCAACTAGGAAAAAGACCTTGGCTATTCACCCCATCCATGCCTCTCATGATTTTATAAACTTCTCTAAGGTCACTCCTTAGCCTCTGATGCCCAGGGGCAAGTAACCCCAACCTATTCAGCCTCTCCCCGTAGTTCAAACTCTTGAAACCTGGCAACATCTTCTAAATCTTTTCTGAATACTTTCAAGTTTAACATCTGTCCTATAGCAGGGCAACCAGAACTGAATGCAGTATTCTAAAAGTGGCCTCACCAGTGCCCTGTACAGCCACAACATGACCTCCCAACTCCTATAATCAATGTTCTAATCAATATCAGAATGCCAAATGCCTTCTTCACCACTCTGTCTACCTGCAACTCCACTTTCAAGGAACTATGCACCTTAACCCCTAGATCTATTTGTTTGGCAACACTCCCCAGGACACTATCATTGACTGTATAAGTCCTGCCTTACCAAAATGCAACACCTCACATTTATCTAAATTAAACTCCATCTGCCACTTCTTGGCCCATTGGCCCATCTGTTCAAGGTCCCATCATACTCTGAGATAATCTTCTTCACTGTCCATTACACCACCAATTTTGGTGTCATAGATTGAGATAAAGCCCTTCTTGAAAGCCACTTTTAACGATTTTCTTCCTATCCAAATGACTTTAATATCAATGGACATTGTACCACCAAGTGTGATGCTGAGCCATACAGAGTAGAAAGATCCCAAGATTGGTCTTTCACTTGTATTAAGTTCGCTCAACTCAGTAGCTGTAACACTGTTAGGAACAGTAATATAATGAGACTCACCGAACTCAGGCAAAATTGGAAGAAATTTCACAAGAATATTGCTCCTGATTTTGATTAATTAATGCCTGTTGACAAAGGCTTAGGTTTATAAGGAATGATAACAAGATCAGTGTCAGGTCTGATACATCTTCTATTAATCTATTGCTACACGATGTACATTAAGGATGAGCAAAATAATGGTGGGCAACATCCAAGATAGATTGTCCTACCGGATCTGTTACACTAGGAAATTAAAAACAAATCAGTTTATTACAATTAAGTGGTTTTGTCTCAATGCTGTCTGAAGTCAGTCCGTTGAACCATTCCCAGAGGATGGTAAACAGCTTATTCAAATTCAGCAAACTAAGCTGACAAACCAAGTTTGCGGAAGCTGTTTGCTGCACTGTTCAGCATATCATACATGTACAGACACTTGACTTCACTGTATATTGGTGTTCACCATAAGTTTCCATCATGTAACACAATGTTAGATCCAAAGTCCAATGATCTAAATTCTTCCCCTATCCAAACAGAGTAATGCACAACCAACGTGAATAATCAGGACACATACCTGAAATGTTCTCTTTTGTACTAAAACTGCATAAATCATAATAAATTTACACTAACACTGTTAGGTCCACACTTTTTATTATTTAGACTAAAAATATCACTGCTCCTAATACAGCCACTGCTACTGAGTTGAAAGAAGGAATAAAACTGAGGACTTAAGCTGATACAGGCAGTCCCCGGGTTATGAATGGATTACATTCTCGAGTACATTTGTAAGTTGATTTGTAGCCAAGTAGAAACACAATACAATATAGTCGCTCGCACATACAAGAAAACATTTGCAATTAGATCTTTAAAATTAAGATTAATATGGGACCCCATTTGTAAATGCAAGCATTTGTAAATCAGGCATAGGTTAGTCAGGGACTGCCTGTAGTCAGATTCTTTGGTATACTACTGCCAAACTCTGATATTACCTTCTGTTGCTACTATCACATACTTAGGTGTTTCATGCATAGTATTTTTCACACCACCAACTAATTTAAAGAAAGAACACTGGTATTTTACAGCAACTCTCACTACTACCAGCCATTTGAAAGTGTGTATACTCAATGGATATTTTTAAAACGCGTTCATAACTGAAAAGTAGGAAAAGTGGCAATCCGAAGAGCAAGCTCCCACATAAAATATGCTAATGTCCAAATACTCTGTTTTGTGAGTTGGCTGGATAACTGTTGGTCAGAACACTAGAGATAACTTCTCGTTCTTCTCGGAAGGAGTACAATGAGATATTTTACATTCACTTGAGAAAGTCACAAAAAAGGCATCAGTCATTCAGAAACCGAAAGAACTGCAGATGTTGTATATCAGGAACAAACACAAAAGTTTCAGGAAAAGCTCAGCAAGTCTGGCAGCATCTGTAAAGAAAAAATCAAAGTTAACGTTTCGGGTCCAGTGACCCTTCCTCAGAACTGACTGTAGCTAGGAAAACATCGGTTTATATGCAGAAGATAGGGAGTGTGAGAGGATAGGGAGTAAACGATGGTTGGGGATAGAGTCCAAAGTGACAGAAGATCAGTTGGAT